CCTCGACCCCTCCCCCGATCCTTGTTCCTTATTATTGTATACCCCCACCTACGTCGTATTCCGGCCGATAGCAACCCAATCCGGGACCTCCCATCCAGACCGGAAAAAATTAATACAAAGTGGCCGTGTTTCTTCTCAACATCGTCTTGCTTGTCGTCGACGATGCAAAAAGCGTGGCAGGAATGGGACGCGGCGCACATCGCGCGCGGCAGTCAATCTCGGCCCGCCCATCATGACTGCAAAAAACTCAATACAAAGTCTTCGTTTTTTGCTCTCAGCATGGCCTGCCTTGTCGCCGACGGTGCGAAATATGTGGCAGCAGTGGGACGCGGCGCACATATGGGACGCGGCGCACATCGCGCGCGGCCGTCAATGTGGGCCCGCTCATCCTGACTGTAAAAAATCAATACAAAGTTTCAGTTTTTCCCCCACATCCAAAGTGGGGTTTTTGTTTTCTCTGCACACCCCGCGCAGGAACACTCACCCCACCCCCTCTCCTCTTCTGCCTTCGCACACTCACTCACTCACTCATCATCATCACCACTCACTCACACTCACACTCACTCACACTCTCTCATCCTCAACATCAGCATCATCACTCGCGCTCTCTCACACGCTCAGTCATTCACATATTCATCATCATCATCATCATCATCATCATCATCACTCGCACTCTGTCACACGCTCACTCATTCACATACTCACCTGGAGGAAGTCTCAGGCGGGAGTTCGTCTGTGAGTGAATTGTGAAAAAATCTCGGGCGGGAGCCCCCTCCCTATGGGGCCCGCAGATCACGTTGGTAATCCGAGCGGGTCATCCAAACCCTGTAACTGTCGTCACTTTTGGGCTCCTCAAGCTTGAGTACGGAGGAAGTCTCAGGCGGGAGCCTCGTCTGTGAGTGAAGTGCGAGGAAGTCACAGGCGGGAACCCCTCCCTATGGGGCCCGCGCTTCATGTTGGTAATCCGAGCGGGTCATCCAAACCTTGTAACTGTCGTCACTTTTGGGCTCTTCCGGCCTGAATTTGGAGGAAGTCTCAGGCGGGAGCCTCGTCTGTGAGTGAATTGTGAAGAAGTCGCAGGCGGGAACCCACTCCCTATGGGGCCCGCAGATCATGTTGGTAATCCGAGCGGGTCATCCAAACCCTGTAACTGTCGTCACTTTTGGGCTCCTCAAGCTTGAGTACGGAGGAAGTCTCGGGCGGGAGCCTCGTCTGTGAGTGAATTGCGAGGAAGTCACAAGCGGGAACCCCTCCCTATGGGGCCCGCGCTTCACGTTGGTAATCCGAGCGGGTCATCCAAACCTTGTAACTGTCGTCACTTTTGGGCTCTTCAGGCTGAATTTGGAAGAGTCTCAGGCGGGAGCCTCGTCTGTAGTGAAATTGCGAGGAAGTCACAAGCGGGAACCCCTCCCTATGGGGCCCGCGCTTTACGTTGGTAATCCGAGCGGGTCATCCAAACCTTGTAACTGTCGTCACTTTTGGGCTCTTCAGGCTTGAATTTGGAGGAAGTCTCAGGCGGGAGCCTCGTCTGTGAGTGAATTGCGAGGAAGTCACAAGCGGGAACCCCTCCCTATGGGGCCCGCGCTTCATGTTGGTAATCCGAGCGGGTCATCCAAACCTTGTAACTGTCGTCACTTTTGGGCTCTTCAGGCTTGAATTTGGAAGACGTCTCAAGCGGGAGCCTCGTCTGTGAGTGAATTGTGAAGAAGTCGCAGGCGGGAGCCCCCTCCCTATGGGGCCCGCAGATCATGTTGGTAATCCGAGCGGGTCATCCAAACCCTTTAACTGTCGTCACTTTTGGGTTCTCGCGCTGCCAGAACGCCATTCCCGGGCCACATTGTGCATGCCCGGAGCCAACTGTAGGCCACTTCGTGTTCTTCGTGTTCCCAGAACACCATTCCCGGGCCACATTTTGAAACCCCGGAGCCAACTGTAGGCCACTTCGTGTTCTTCCTGTTCCCAGAACACCACTCCCGGGCCACATTCTGGATGTCTGGAGCCAACTGTAGGCCACTTTGTGTTCGTCGTGTTCCCAGAGCGTCATTCCCGGGCCACATTCGTGGCCCGGGAATTTGTGGCCCAGATCAGGGGTTGTCCCAACGGCTGCGCGACGTGGCCATTAGAGAACGCGCCTGTGCTGGCCGAGGCGGCGACGGCGCCGAGGAAAACCGACATGCGCGCCCGTGCAATGGAAAGGCGAGGCGGTGGCGGGGCGCGAAAAAAACAGGAGGGCGAGGTCGGGGGCAACGTAGGGAGCGGGGGGAGGGCCCGCGCCAGGGCGAGAAGAAATATACGCAGAAGAGACAGTCAGGACGCCTCACCAACCACGAGGACGACGGTGAGCGCTTTTTCCAGACTCGCCCAGAGGATTCTCATGTGGGGTCCTTCCGTCGGAGTAATTCCTCTCAGCATGGCTTGCTTTGTCGCCGACGGTGCGAAATATGTGGCAGGAGTGGGACGCGGCGCACATCGCGCGCGGACGTCCATGCGGGCTGCGGGCCCTCCCATCCTGACTGTAAAAAAAACAATACAGAGTACCACTACCACTACCACTACCACTACTAGTGCTACTACTACAACTACTACAACAACAACTACTACTACTACTCCTACTCCTCCTACTACTACTACTACTACTACTACTACTACTACTACTACTACTACTACTACTACTACGACTACGACTACGACTACGACTACTACTACTGCTACTACTACTACTACTACTACTACTACTACTACTACTACTACTACTACTACCATACCACTCCACTACTACTACCACTACCAGTACTACTACTACTACTACTACTACTACTACTACTACTACTACTACTACTACTACTACTACTACTAACTACTATACTACTACTACTACTACTACTACTACTACTACTACTACTACTACTACTACTACGACGACGACGACGACTACTACTACTACTACTACTACTACTACTACTACGACTACTACTACTACTACTCGTACTATTTCTACTACTACTACTACTACTTCTACTACTACTACTACTACTTCTACTTCTACTTATACTTCTACTTCTACTTCTACTTCTACTTCTACTTCTACTTCTGCGTCTACTTCTACTTCTACTTCTACTTTTACTACTAATGCTGCTACTACTACTACTACTACTACTACTACTACAACTACTACTACTACTACTACTACTACTACTACTACTACTACTACTACTACTACTACTACGCGCCAGCACCCAGTTGCGCCAGCATTGTTTCTTATGTTGTGGGAGGGCGGAACGTGTCCGTTGTTCCTTTCAACGTGGCCAGTCTTGGCGTCGACGATGCGAAATGCGTGGCGGGAATGGGACGCGGCGCACATCCCGCGCGGACGTCAATGCGGTGCCCTGGGGTATCCTCTTCGCACTGAAATGCCCGCGCAGCCCCCAGTTGTGCCATCACTGTTTCTTATGTTGTGGGAGGGCGGGTGGGAATGGGCATGCCATGCTTGACTCGCTCGAGCTGGCTAGCTTGACCCCTACCCCTACCCCTGGATCCAGAAAGGGGAGGGGGTTCGCGAGCGGTCAGAACGCCAAAGGTGGCCCAAGATGGCTCCAAGATAGCTCCAAAGAGCCCAAGTGATCTTTAAGACGGCTCAAGATATCCGGAGACGGCTTAAACTGGCCTTGAAGGTGCCGCCAGGACGCCCCAAGAAGACTCCAAGAGAGCCTGGAGTGGCCACGGAGCCTCCCAAGGACGCCCCCGAGAGGCCAAACTCCTTCATGCGCTTAGGAAAACCTTTGATGATTGCCTTCTCGCCCTTTCGCTTTCCATCGGCTTTCGAGCCCTCAAAATGGCTCACATATGGCCCAAGCGAGTCCCAAGAAAGGCCCAGAAATGCCCCAAGACGGCCCCAAGAGCGCCCCCCCTTAGCTCAAAGCCATGACATGGTTGTGCGAAGGAATGGGCATCTCGGGGGCATTCTTGGGAGGCGTTTAGGCCAAGATCGCTCTAAGATGGCCCCAGAGAGAGTCTCAGATGGCATCCAAAGTAGCTCGAGATATCCCAAGATGACTCAAGATGGCTTCCGCGAAGTCTCCAAGAGACTCCAAGACCTCCCCCCCAAGACGGCTCCGAGTGGCAACAGAGCCTCCCAAGAACACTCACAAGAGGCCAAATTCCGCCGAATGAAAACAAAGGATGACTGCATTCTCACCTTTTCGCTTGCAATGGGCCTCTCGGGTCCCACATGACCCCACGATGGCCCAGCATAGCCCCAGCAGGAGTCCAAGAGGGCTCCAAGACGGTGCAAGGGGCCTCCAAGGGGCCTCCGAGAGGGTCCAACGAGGCGATGTTCAGCCACCGAGGGGCAAGAAAGCCCCAAAACTGCTCTAAGACGCCTCCAAAGGGCTCCAACCGCAACAGATCTGCAAAGGCGTCCCCTTTAACTTTCTCCTGTTGTTTCCTCCTCCTCCTGCTCCTCCTCCTCCTCCTGCTCCTCCACATCCTTCTCCTCCTCCTCCTCCTCCTCCTGCTCCTCCTCCTCCTTCTCTTCCTTCACCTCCTCCTCCTCCGTTTTTTCTTCCTCCTGCTCCTCCTTCTCCTCCTTCTCCTCCTCCTCCTCCTTCTCATCGTCACCTTCATCCTCCCCTTTCTCCTGAGATGATTCCAGGAGACCTCCACGAGGCTCCCAAGACAACTCGAGTGGGCATCGGTTCTAGGTGGGCTGATGGGGGTACACTAAGCGTCAATCCTTTCTTTGGGGTGCGTAACGACTACGCCCCTCATCTTTATCCAAGTCCCGACCCGTTCTGAAAGTTCCGACTTCATTCCCAAAGTTCCGACCCGTTAAAGTCCACAAGATCCCGCTCGAAAACCACCATCAATTGTAGCAGGCTGATCTCTGCGGGCACTTGCCCGCTCCATACGGATAGTAGACGACAACGAACGGGTACAGAAGAGAAGATGACAGAGAGGCGGTGCTGGAATGTTGTCCCGCCGATGTACTAAGAAGTCGCTGCCTGAATCAAGCTCATCTCCGGGTGCTTCTGAAACATGTAGTCCTGGAAACGCGAGATGACTGGCTCCTCCTGCTCCTCCTCCTCCTCCTCCTCCTTCTTCTCCTCCCTCTTGTCCTCCTCCTCCTCCTCCTCCTCCTCCTCCTCCTCCTCCTCACTCATCCCTCGGCCTTCGCCTCCTCCTACTCCACCTCACTCATCCTCCTCCTCCTCCTCCTACTCCTACTCCTACTCCTACTCTACTCCTACTTCCTACTCCTACTCCTACTCCTACTCCTACTACTCCTACTCCTACTCCTACTCCTACTCCTACTCCTACTCCTCTTCCTCCTCCTCATCCTCCTCCTCTCCTCCTCCTCCTCCTCCTCCTCCTCCTCCTCCTCCTCCTCCCCCTCCTCCCCCTCCTCCCCCTCCTCCTCCTCCCCCTCCTCCTCCTCCTCCTCCTTCTCCTCCTCCTCCTACTACTACTACTGCACCAGCGGGAGCTTTGGCACCCCCCGCCTGCGGAGCAGACGGGGGCGCGGCTGGGGGAGCCTGAACCCCTGGGCAGAAACGAGTGGGGGGGACCCGCCGCCCCGGGATGTTGGGCGTCGCTTAACGGGGGACGATCAATTGGGGGCGAGAAAGGGGCGCGTCTCAGGTCCACGGGCCCCCTCTTGGGACCATCAAAGGCCCCTTCGAGAACCCTGGAGGGCCCCTCGTCTGCAACCCTCGCTGCCCCCCCCCCCCCCCCATGTATCGCCTCGGCATTGCGCGACGCCAGAAGATGGGCCGGCTGTGGGCGTCCGGAGAGCCCTGCGCTGGCGCTGGCGCACCGCCTCTAGCATGGGGGAAACGGGTCCTGAGGGAAACGAGTCCTGGACCCTGGGGCCTTCCCCCAGAACGAGCTTTTCATCCTGAGCCGCTTTCTGGCAGTCCCCGAGCCCGTGGAGGGTCCCGAGAGCCAGAACACGGAGAGAAACCTCAGGACTCCGACCCGTTTCTCGGAGCTGGGTGGTTCGAGACACTGGGAGTTCAAAATCGGTCCCTGGACCCCTCCTCCCTGGGTCCAAACGCACCAGTTCTCCGCGCTGCGTCCAGCCATGGCGACGAGGGGGCCCTCCGAAGGCCAACTACCAGTGTCTCAAACGGCCCTCCTCGCAGTTTCCCTCAGGACCCGCTGCCTTCCTGGCGATGTCCTGACTCTGGCCAGCCGGGCGACGTGCACCGCCACAGAGAAGGTCGCACGAACGAGCGCGCCTCCGCGCGCAAACCGCGCTCGCACGAGGCCGGGCACCAGCCCGCCCTGCTCAGCCTGGGGGGCATCTGCCCCCCAGCGTTGGGTCTTGTCGAGAACTTGAGCCCAGGGGCCCTGAGATCCCTCCTCCTCCTCCTCCTCCTCCTCCTCCTCCTCCTCCTCCTCCTGGTTCCTGGCTCCTGGCTCCTGGCTCCTGGCTCCTGGCTCCTCGCTCCTCCCCCTCCTCCTCCTCCTCCTCCTCCTCCTCCTCCTCCTCCTCCGGACGTAGCGAAAAATAGGGAACCGAACTCTACGCACCGACGCTTTTTCCGGCCCTGAACCGAATGAAACTCGCACAAGAAAGCGGATCTTGGTGTGTACGCGATCCTGGCGTATACACGTTTCGCTGTTTCCCCGGGAAAACAAGCAAAACACGTATACACCACACCCCCCCGGCGTCGCCCCCGACCCTCAAAAAGTCCTGGGACTGAAAAACAGCCCGCCACTGGTAATGAATACGCTCTTGCAAGTCGGTACCATCACGCTGGGAACCCCAGGCCCCCCTCTTTCTGTCTTTCTGCGTCGTTTTTCGAAGCGGGTCGATCTGTGAAGGTACAAGGCCCGGGAAGAAGCGGAACCGCCCGGCTCGAAAAAATAGAGACGCCAGGATCTCATGGGGAGCGTCGCTTACGCCCCGCGGCCGAGGTGCCCGCATCGCTCCTCCTCCTCCTCCTTCTTGTCTTTCCCCAAAGGCCCACGCAATGTGCGCACCTACCCGCCACTGACCACATGGAGGAATAATGACTCAAAGCGCAACTCTGCTGCCAAAGCTTCGGCAAGGAACGCGGAGTCCTTTTCTGCCATCTCCCCATCCAAACTTCCTCCTCATCCTTCTTGTCCTCCTGTTCTGCCTTCTCCTCATCCTCCTCCTCATCCTCCCCCTCATCACTTTCTCCTCTCGCACTCTGACTCTGGCGGTCTGTGCCGCGGCGACTGCAGACCGACGACGACATGCAGCGAGGACGACGAGGACGACTAGATGGGAGACGATGGACGGGCGACGACGAGGACGAGGAAGGACTGCAGACGGACGGCGACGGCACGAAAACGCCACAGTGGGGGGGAGGCGGCCACACGAAGGAAGAACGAGGACGAGGCGACAACCGCCCTCTTCCTTCCCCTCGTCCTGCCCCCATCCGTCTCATCGCCATCTTCTTTCTCATTGCCATCATCAACAACAGCATCATCATCATAATCATCAATAGCATCACCATCATCACCACCATCACCATCACCGTCATCATACCCACAGTCTTCGTCTTCAGCTTCATCATCTTCATCATGATCGTCATCCTCAACATCATGAGCATCATCCGTATCATCAGCATCACCATTATCATCAGCATCAACATTACCATCATCAGCATCATCACCATCATCGGTATCAGGGTCATCACCATAACCATCATCAGCAGCATCATCATCATCAGCATCGTCACCACCATCATCATCAGCAGCATCACCATCATCATCCTCATCATCAGCAGCATCATCATCGCTGTCACAACCATGAGTATCGTCGTCGTCATCATCATCATCCTCATCACCAACAGCATCAGTAGCAGCATCATCATCACCATCATCATCACCATGATCAGCATCGCCATGACCAGCCTCATCATCATCAACAATATCATCAGCATCCGCATCATCATCATCAGCATCATCAGCAGCATCATCACCACCATTATCATCATCACCACCATTATCATCATCATCGTCGTCGTCATCACCAGCATCACCATCATCATCATCATCAGTACCATCATAATCATCCTCATCACATATTCATCATGCATTCATCATTCCTCATTCCCCCTCCTTCTCCTCCTCCTCCTCCTGCTCCTCCTTCTCACCTATTCCCGCAACTGCCGTCGTTCCTCTCACTTCCTCTCCTCCTCCCCCATCCCTCTCTGCACTGCGTCATTCATTCCTTCCTTATGCTCCTCATCACTGCTCTCTTATTCCTCCTTCCGCCGTTGTCCTTATTCTTCCTCTTCCTCCCTACTCCTCCAAAAATAGGAATGCCCGACTGGGGGGGGGGTCTGGACTTGGTCGCAGGTCTCCCTTGACAAAGAAACCGCCTGACCAGGTCTAGGCAGATGCCATTGTTGGTCTGGTTGGGGGTGTTGGCTGCGACGCAGAAGGAGACACTACAATCGAATTGCCATTCCACCGTTTGAGCAAAACTGGCCAGGTAACCGGACATCTGCTCATGCAGCACTCGTCCTGGTAATCGAACATATGTGCTTTCATCATGTGCTCGTTCAATATGTTAGAAAGAGCGTGTTTTACCGCTGCTGGCGGAAAACCGGGGGGGGTCACTACCGGTTCGAACCCCTCCCCCCCCCCTCCGGAAAACCGGGGGGGGTCACTACCGGTTCGAACCCCTCCCCCCCCCCAGTTCATCATGAAAAGGGGGGGGGTCACTACCGGTTCGAACCCCCCCCCCCCTCGAAAACCCGGGCGGTTCGAACTCCCCCCCCCTCCTCGAAAACCGAGGGGGGGTGCGGACAGTGGTGGGGACGGTGGTGGTGGGGACAGTGGTGAAGGGACAGCGGGACAGTGGTGGGGACAGTGGGACAGTGGTGGGGACTGTAGTGGTGGGGACAGTGGTGAGGACAATTAATGGTGGGAACAGTGGGGACAGTGGACAGTGGTGGGGACGGTGGTGGTGGGGACAGTGGTGTGGGGACAGGGGGAGGTGGAAACAGTGGGACAGTGGAGGGTACAGTGGTGGTGGGGACAGTGGTGAAGGCGGTGGCGAGGACGGCGGTGGGACAATGGGACAGAGGTACAGTGGGGACAGTGGTGGGGACAGTTGGGACAGTGGTGGGAACAGTGGGACAGCTCAGTGGGACAGCGGAGGAGTCAGTGGGACAGTGGGGACAGTGGGGATAGTCGGGCAGTGGTTGGGGCCGTGGAGAAATTGGGGAGAGTGGAACCGTGGTGGGAACAGTGGTGGGGACAGTGGGGACAGTGCGACAGTGGTGGGAGCACTGGTGGGGACAGTAGGGACGGTGGTGGAACCAGTGGGGACAGTGGTGGTGAGGACAGTGGCGCTGGGAACAACAGTGGGGGATGTGGCGCGGACGGTGGTAGGGACCGGGAGTCGTTTGCTGGCGGTGAGTGGGGGGGGGTGGGGAGGGGTTCGAACCGGTAGTGACCCCCCCTCCGGTTTTCGAAGGAGGGGGGGGTTCGAACCGGTAGTGACCCCTCCCGGTTTGCGAGGGGGAGGGGGGGGGAGGGAGGGGTTAGGGGACGGGGGGGGGTTTTGCCGGGGGAGGGGAGGGGCGGGGGGGTCCAGCAGGGGGGGAGGGGATTTTCGGAGGGGGGGGAGGGGAAACCCCGGGTTCCGGAGGAAAAGGGGGGCAATTTTCCATAGTAAAGCGGCGGTGGATCACGCTCTCATATGTTAACATGTGCCCATGCAACATGTGAACAAGTTACACAAGTTTAGAAGTGACATCGGGCAACGCCTGTGGTACGATGCGTCCCCCCTGGGAGCGCACGACTGAACCGAGCATGCAGCACAAACCCGGGCGGCATGCCCGGAAAGCGCCTGCCACCGAGCATATACCGCAAGACCTCGAAGCGCGCGTCGCCGCTGGGCGGCCAACACGCGTCGCCCCTGGGAGGGGGCCTACAGCATCAGAGTGCTCGAGTGATGCCGATGGGGGGGTTCTCCACTCCTCCTCCCCCTTCCCTCCCCTTCCCTCCCCCTCCCTCCCATTCCCTCCCCCTCCCTCCCCTTCCCTTCCCCTCCCTCCCCTTCCCTCCCCCTCCCTCCCCTTCCCTCCCCCTCCCTCCCCTCCTCCCCCTTCCCTCCCTCCCTCGTATGCCCCGTCTCCTCCCCCCCTGACAGCCATCGGCGGATAGAGAGGACATCAACGCAATGGGAATGGATGAGTGGGAGGGGCAGGGTGATATGGCGCGAGTGCACCAGGCTTGCCCCCCCTCCCTCTCTCGTCTCCCCTCCCCCTCCCCTCCCCTCCCCATTCCCTCCTCTTCCTCCCTCCCTCCCGCGGCCGTAGCCATTTTGGCTCAAGGCTCCGGCCCCGGTGGAGACATTTCCCACTAGGGGGTCAGAGCCCATGCGCGTTGCCCCGGACCGTCCATTGTTCTGGGAAGACCGCATGCCGCGAGATGCTTCCGGCAGGCGCCGCGATGGCTGCCCGCCGAGGCCGGACCTCCGTGCCCCCGTGCGCAGGCTCGGCTATGCGGCCCGAGTCGGCCGCCGTCCTCGCATGGGCGACGTGGCCGCGCTTGCTGCTGCCATAGACATGATGATCATGATGATCGTCGGGCGGCCGAGCCCGAGCCGGTGCTGGAGCGCGCCGCTGCCGCCGGCGACGCCCATGCGTACGGCGAATGCTTCGTGGGCTCGGTGCCGGCTGCGTGGTGCAGGATGCCCGCCGCGCTGCCGCCCCCAGCCGCCGCCGCCGCGCCGATGTGGTGGCCGGAGCTGTCGTCGGAGTCGCCTCCGCCTCCTGGTGCTGCTCAGGCCTCGTGTGTTCCTGCTGCAGTTCTGGATCGCGCTCTACGCCCTGCTCCGGTTGGTGGTCCGGAAGGTGTCCTGGATCGTGCTCGCCGACTCGTTGGAGCTCTGGATCTCGCTCCAGAGGGCACTCATGCCGCAGGAGATGACGGGCTCCCCGACGATGCTGCAGATGCCGCCGAGGACCGGCCTGAATTTGCTGATGCCTCCGTGGACGATTCTCATCGCGATTCTGACAGCACGGTCGACTCCGCAGAGTTTGCGTATCAACGGTCGCTAGGCGCGCGGGTTCCCGATCGTGCTCCTGGTGATGTTCATGCTCAGGATCAAGCGCTACGCTTATGTCGGGCGTGTCCCCCTACAGGGGAACTTTTGACGAAAACTCAAAAGTGCCCCAAAATACCCCCAAAAGGTAAGCAAAATACTCAAAAAATAATCCCAAGACTATTTTTGGATTATTTTTTGACTATTTTGGGGGTATCTTTTTTCGTCGAAAATCCCCCTGTAGGGGGACAGGCCCGACTTAACGCTACGCCCCGCTGCTCTGGATCGTGCTCCGGACTGTGTTCCGGATCGTGCTCGCTGCCTCGCTGGAGCTCTGGATCGTGCTCCGGCTGGGGCGCATGCCGAAGGCGATGTCGGGCTCCCTGGCGATGCTGCAGACACCGCAGAGGACCGGCCAGAAGCCGCGGATGACTCTGCTGTTCCTCCTGAGGCTGCTCCGCCTACGGCTGGTCTGCCTCGGCCGTCGGCGATGCAGAGGGTGCAGATCGTGAAGCCTGCCACGGAGATCCAGGCGGCGGACGGAGCGGTCCGCCTACTTACGCAGCACCTGTCCAGGATTGAGACCGTGCTGTACTGGAGGGAGAAGGCGACCCCACACTCCCCGCTGGTGCAGGACTACCGGCTCCGGGCGTGCGAGCTGCGGCGCCTAGTGGATGAGGCCGTAGGGCGGCGGGCCGCTCTGGACCCTAGAGGCTCCTCTGGTGCCCCGTTGTATGCTCGGCACAGCCTCCGACCATTGCGTGTAGCTAATCGTGCTGCTGTGTATCTCTATGTGTGCTGCGCGGGTGCGAAGATAGGAGGGAGGTTCGGAGGGGGGGTTCGGGATGGAGGCGTTTCTCCGCGCGGCCCGTGCACTCTCGCGAGCATTGCTCGACTCGATGAGGGCCGGCGAACGCGAGCGAAGAGAGAGTAGGGCCCAGGTCTGCGTCCCAGCCTTCCCCTCTCCTCGTCTTCATCATCATGTCCTCCCTCTCTCCCTCTCTCCCTCGCTCCCTCCTCCCGAGCGTCCAGTGTCCGGCGTGCCGTAGCGGTCGCTCCTCGTGCGATTCGAGCCGATGACGGGCAAGGTCTGGTGCTGGATGTGGGGCGGGGATGTTTCAGGACCGTTGGGTGAAAGGGTGATTGCGATCCTTCCCTAGGCGGGCCCTGCCACCCGTGCCGACGTGCCGTCTGCCCCGTCGCAGGGTCACGAGCAGGAGGTTTTTTGGTTGCGTCCCAGCCTTCTTCTCTCCTCCTCGTCTATTCTCAGCATGACCCCTCCCTCCCTTCGCCCCTCCTCCCGAGTGCCCTGGACGGGCGCAGCATGCCACTGTCGCCACTTTAGCTCTGCCGTCCAGCTGCCAGTAATAACGGGTGGGGGGTGAGTGATGATGTTTTGGGAGGGTCTGGACTCCTTGCTTCGGTTCAACGCGTTCCGTCCGCTCTGTCGCGGGGGTCCCATCGTACTGCACTGTACTTGTATACTTGGTGCCCGTGCAGAAATTGTTAGTCTGACTGATGTTCTGCTAGCTGCAGCGCAGCTTAGTCTCGACAAGCCGTATGCTTCAGCGAGGAACCAATCCAAAAAATCCCTCCCGCGGCTCCCTCTCCCTCTCCTCCCCTCCCCATACCTCTCTCCCTCGCTCCCTCCGCCTCCCACGGCACGGTGGTCCTGGAAGTGCGGGGTGATCGAGTCGAAGCAGAGCAGCCCGCACAAGAACAGCACCCCCAGGCCCTTCCCGGACACCTCACGGGGCAGAGGCCAGCAGGCGAGGAGCTCTGGGAGGAGGAGCTTCTCGGGGACGAGGAGGGGCCCCAGGGGAGGGAACGCCAGGAGGAGCGGCTCCAGCAGGAGCTAAGACAAACTATTCCAGGAACGAACTCACGAACGAACTCACGTCCAGCCATAGCCGGTGCTCCGACGGACGAACTCACGTCCCGACCTCCTGCTCCACCTCGCCCTCCTCTTTCTCCTCCTCGTCATCATCATCATCAACATCATCATCATCCATTCCTTTTCCTTAACAATAGCGCCTCCCTGTCGCAGCCAGAGAGGCAGGCCGGGCGTTTCGCCTAAGACCTCATCACCATTCACGACCATGAAGCTCAAAGCAGGGCAACAGTTTCGCAAATGGAGGGCAGGTGATTTTCAACATGTGGGTCTCGCCGTAGCAACGCGCATATTTGACTTTTTAATGTACAAACATATTCCAAATGGAGGGCGGGTGGTTCTCAGAAGGTGGCTCTCGCCTTAGCGCTGCGCACCGTAATTCTAACAACTTGCAAGATGTTGACGGATCGAAGGCGGGTCGTTTTCAACATACGGCTCGTTTTTAAACAGTTGCAATCGTCTCACAAATGGAAGGCGGGTGGTTTTCAAAAGGTGGCTCTCGCCGTAGCGCCGCGCACATTCGTGCTAGAATTGTGCAAGAACTTCACGGATTGAGGGCGGCTGGTTTTCAAAATGCAGTTCCCGCCTGAACGCCGCGCTTACATGATTTCACACATTCCAATGGTTACGTATGAGAAGTGGTGTTCGGAACGCTGCATGATTGTCAGGGCGCAACATTTACATTGATTCGCGGTGTGGAAAGTCCCAGAAACTGTGTGCTGGCACGAGTCCGGGTCGCCAAGACGCAACCGATATTTTAACTCGTGGCGTCGAAGTCCTGAGACTAGTGTTCTTTCGCGCTTCAGGATTTTCACACGGATGCCCCCCAAGGAGGCAATTTCCTGTGGAAATGAACCCTTGTAGGGGCCTATCAAAAACGGAGCTTGGAGGGAGGGTGTCTTCCAACATCGTTGATGAGTCTTGGGTTTACACGGTCCTCCTCTCCTCTTCCTTCTCCTCCTCCTCCCGCTCATCCTCCGCATCCTTGACTTTCTCATCATCATCATGATCACCACCATCAACAGCATCATCAGCATGTCCCCATTGTCACCATATTACAACATCATCGTTCTCCGTCTCGGCATTCTCGTCACCATCAGTTCTCAGTTCCCAACTGCATGCTGATCAAAATGCAAGCACACGTGCCAGGGACACAGCCGGCGATGAAGACCTCGGCCCGCCACCTCGGAGAAGGAGGCCGAACGCGCATACTTCAACGGGTAGCTTTCTCAACGCGACATTTCTCGATCAGGGCACGTGATCTGGCCTGCGACGTCCTCACACGAACATCCCTCTCCTCGTCAGGGTCGACGGCCACAACCACAGACGACACAGACTGGCACTCGCCCTTCTCGATGCACATCGCCTCCTTACGCTGCTGGACCTGCTGAAGACTGGGCTCCACAATGGCCTTCGGGGAGGTCGCCTCCGCGGGCCCAGCACGCTGCATCAGGTACTCCAGCTTCTGCGAGATGTCCGACACCATCTCCGCGAGCTGCGCGGCGCGCTCCTCGAGCACAGTGCTGAAGCTGCGCTGCTCCGCCGCCAGCTCCTCCTTGAGCGCCGCCAGAGCTGCATCAGGCTGCATCGCCTGCACTTCCGCCGCATCTGTTGCCAAGCAGAGCTCCCCCCAGGAGCCGCGACGATTTCAAGATGGGCAAATTTCCCGCATGTTGCTTTCCTCAAGCTGGACCGCGGTGAATCATCATGGAACGCCCGCGCGCCATCGAATGGCCGCGCGCCGCCTGCCCCCGCCACTGAATCACGCATGCGCAGCTTCACGACATCTGCCTTCTTCCTCCAGCTTCGCCCTGCGAGGCTCCGACGGGCCACCCCCGCACGGCACGCGCCGCCGACCGCCGATGCCCCAGCCGCCCCCGCCTGGACCGCCTGTCGGGGTGCGCGCCCCAGCTCCGCGCCGCCGAAACGCGTCTCAGGCGCTCCGCGAGCTGTCCGCCTGCATCGCCGAGGGAGCGCAACGTTTGCTTGGCGCCCGGTTGACGCTCCGCTCCCCCCCGATGCCGCCGTAGACGAGGTCGACTGCCTCCTGGACGATGCCGCTGGCCCCAGCCATGTGATCCCCGCCGCCTGCAGCCGGAGCCGCCGCATCAGCATCATCACCATCATCATCATTATCGTCATTATCATGATCGTCATCGTCATCATCATCATCATCATCATCATCATCATCAGCATCATCATCATCACCATCTTTATCACCATCATCATCACAATCACCATCATAATCATCATCGCCATCATCATCGTCATCATAATCATCATCATCATCATCGTCGTCGTCATCATCATCATCACCATCATCATCATCATCATCAGCATCACCATCATCATCACCATCATCATCATCAGCATCATCATCACTATTATCATCATCATCATCACCATCACCATCACAACCATCATCATCATCAACATCATCATCATCATCATCATCATCATCATCATCATCATCATCATCATCATCATTATTTTCATCATTCTCATGCTCACCATCATCACCATCATCATCAGCAGCAGCATCATTATCATCATCCTCATCAGCATCATCTTCATCCTTGTCATTATCATCATCAGCATCACCATCATCATCATCATCATCATCATCATCATCATCATCAGCAGCAGCAGCATCATCATCATCATCATCATCATCATCATCATCATCATCCTCATCATCATCCTAGTAAGCTCGGGTCGCCGGTGATGGGGGTCACGCAAATGGGGGGTCAAGAAAGCACCCTTTGTGCACATTTAAGGGGCCCTTTGTTGCACTGCATCTTTTTTGTAAGTCCTCGGCGCCGCCGTCCGGCCCGCATTTTGTTGCGAGGTGAACGCCGCGGTGAGTTCTATGTGGGCCCCAACCCGAGGGGTTACGCGGCCCCAACCCGAGGGGTTACGCGGCGGCACGAGGGCCGCGCGCGCGGCCGCTGCGCGCAGCAAAAAGTGGATGCACTTTTTCGGTTCCCTTCACTTCGTGCAGTGCAGCACTGGGCCCTTTTAAGGACACTTTCGAGCCACTGTTTGACCTGCTGGGGCAGCTTACGGGCGCTATTGGGACACTTTCATGCATTGCAACTTTTGGCCGCCAGTCAGTTTCGCGCATCCAGATGTCTGACCAGGTGGCCTTCGTGCGGTGCGCAGACCGCAATTCTTCGGCGACGTTAGCAGTTGCGTAGACCTCCCATTTGCGTGACCCCCAATCATCGGCGACCCGAGAATCATCATCATCATCATCATCATCATCATCATCATCATCATCATCATCATCATCATCATCATCATCATCATCACCATCATCCTCATCCTCATCCTCATCATCATCATCATCATCCTCATTATCATCATCATCGTCATCATCATCATCTTCATCATCATCACCATCATCATCAGCATCGTCATCATCATCATCATCATCATCATCATCAGCAACATCATCAGTATCGTCATCATCGTCACCAGCATCATCGTAATCAACACCACCATCACCAGCGTCATCACTATCAATCTCATCATAATCACTATCGAGAACAGCAACATCACCGGCACCACCACCACCGTCACCATCACCTTCCCCATAGCCGTGGTTGTCATCATCACTATCATCACCATCATCATCACCATCGTCATCAGCATCCTCATCATCATCATAATAATAACCATCATTATCATTATCAACATCATCAACATCAACATCGTCGCCACCGTCATAATCAGCATCTCATCATCGTCATCGTCCTCGTCATCGTCGCCAAACTGATCATCATAATCATCATCATCATCGTCGTCGACATTCGAAACATCATCATCATCATCATCGGCGTCGCCATCGTCATCATCAACGTCATCATCAACAACATAATCAACACCAACCTCAACATTGGCATCAATATCATCAACATACACGTCACCTGCATCAGCACGACCGTCACCATCATCCTCATCATCATCATCATGAGCAGCAGCAGCATCATCAACCTCAGCGTCAGCATCAGCATCAGCATCGCCAGCATCAGAACCATCATCAACATCGACATCAGCATCAGCATCGTCGTCGTGATCGTCACAATTATTACCAGCAGTAGCATCATCATCACGACATTTCGTATCACCACAAGCATCACCATACTCGTCGTCGTAAGCATATTCATCATATCCATCATCATCATCAGCATCATCACCATCATTACCATCATCATCATCATCTTCATCCTCCACCTCATCCTCATCAGCATCATGATCAGCATCGTCATCATCATCATCATCATCATCGAAATCAACACCACCATCACCAGCATCATCATTATCAACATCATCAAACTCACCATCGAAAACAGCATCAGCATCATCGTCATCGTCGTCATCGTCACCGTTATCTTACTCGCCATCGAGGTCGTCATCATTTGCATCGTACGTAGTCGTAATCAGCATCATCAGCATCAGCGTCAGCATCAACATCATCAGCATCAACATCAACAACAACATCAACGTGTGCATCAGCAGAGTCGTCATCATCATCATCATCATCATCATCATCCGCATCATCATCGTCATCATCGTCATCATCATTATCCTCGTCGTCGTCACCATCATCATCATGAACATCATCATAATCGCCATCAGCATAACCACCACCATTATCATCACAATCATCAGCAGCATCAGCAGCATTGTCATGCTCATGATCAGCACCACCACCACTATCATAAGTAGCATCGTCACCACCATCATCATCATTATCATCAGCAGCATCATCATCATCATGAGCAGCAGCATCATTGTCACCATCATCAGCAGCAGCATTAGGCTCATCATCATGATCAGCATCATCATCATGATGCTAATGATGATGCTGATGATCGCAGTCAGCATCATCATCATGATCAGCCTCATCATCATCATCAACCTCAGTAGAATCACCATCGAACGCGTCGTCATCAGCAGTCGTCATTGTCACCGTCATCATAATCATCATCGTGATCGTTATCGTTAGCATCGTAGTCATGATCAGCATCATCAGCATCAGCGTCAGCATCAGCATTATCAGCGTCTGCATTAACATCCGCATACGCATCGTCATCATCATGAGCATCACCCGCATCATCATCAGCATCAAGAACAGCATCATCATCAGCATCATCATCAGCAGTATCATCATCATCCTCATCAGCATCATCAGCATCGCCATCAGCATCACCACCACCATTGCCATCATCATCAGCAGCATCAGCAGCATCGCCATGCTCATGTTCACCAACACCACCACCACAAATTTCATAAGTAGCATCATCCCCACCGTCGTCGTCATCATCACCATAATCATCATCAGCAGCAGCAACAGCACAGCAGCAGCATCATCAGCAACAGCAGCATCATC